CTAGAACGATGCCAGACGTATATGATTCATATAGGTAGGTACTTCATTCATTACAGAAGACGTGTGCGTGTAGCACATGGAACTAATTCGGCGTTACAATTATGACTAATATGCGCTTGTACCTCTAGAATGACATACCCTGGAAGGTCACAGTTGTACAAACTGTTTGTACGACAAGAAACCATACATGTCACTAGGTATTTGAAAATTTCTGCACACCAAAAACTAGCTTTAGCCGAGTCTGACTATAGTTAGTGCATTATTATATCTATGTTATTAACGAAACTGTTTGACGGGGTAACTCGAGTAGTTTCCAGCCACACTTAAGATTCAAAGCCATAAGGAACACTGCGCGACAAACAGCAGAATATGAAATGTCTCACGCGATTTATAGTACAAAAGTTAAAGTGCATTTTTCGATATGTAATAAATAATACAATTGACATACAAACTACAAGCTTTTGTAGTTCGATACACGCAGTAGGCACAATATCCTCATGTTGATAGTACAGAAATAGCCAGCCATCAATGGGGCTCTGTGCGCGATAACCGCGCTTGCGCAGCCCCCGTCCGAAGCATCAATGTACACACGTAATTTGTGTGAGAGTGTGATGTTGTTTAATGCATATAATAATCAATTAGAAGAACCTAACCCAGTTTCACAAAATATTTCTAAAATCTTACGAAAAGGTACACAGAGATATATTTTTATATCAGGTACACCATAATTGTTCGTGGATGCATTTATGAATAGCAAACTTTTTTTTTTACTAATTAATTACTAAAGTGTACTAACATAGATATAAGTTATTTCTACTAATAACCTATAGATGCTTCTGGTCCGAAATAAAGAGTATTTTATTTTATTTTTATTTAAGTATTTATTTATAATATAACCGTACCTACATTTCGTTAAGACAAAAAAAATTACATACTATAAATAACAGGAACATTTCCCTATTTTTTACATTTAGTAAGAATTCCGAAACTTAAAAAATCTTTATAGGTACCAGTGACTTTAACCACAATCTGTATTGCACTGAATTCCTTTTTCGTTACACAGGCAGTTCCGTTTTGGCTATCTGCAATTCTTATCTTTTGTAACAGGAAATGGTGTTTTCGAAGGTCATAACATTGAACTCATAATAAAAAACATAACACACAATTGTACAATATTTATAAACTTAGTAACACTAATTAAAATGCAGTGAGTGCTTATCTGTTCCAACCGAGTGTAATTAAAAATAATTGCAACTGCATTTGTTGTTTTAAATTAATACATATTTGTGAATCAAATTATTTTTTTTTAATGACATGAATAGGTACTTTTTATAACTTGAAGCTAGGAAATGGAACTTTTAATTATGAAATGTAACATATTCTACCAGTTATATCCTAACTCCCATGTAACAGGGACTAAGCTGATTGAATGGTTGAGACTCTAGTTGGACATTTTTACCGATTTCATTTCTTGTTTTTAATTTGTAAATAATGTGTGGCTGCAACTATCTCAATTGAAACTAGTTTTAATTAAACTTAGTAAGTACCTACCTAGTGTTTTAAGCAACTATTTATAGCCATTAATTGAAATTGGGTAATAAAAGATGACAATCATGGCTTGTCTATCGCTTAATTTATTACCGCCAATCAAATTGTAACTTGTTACATACATACATCTATAATATAAAAATAACTGGATCAATTTTATTTTAGTACTAGTATTTATTGGAGTATAATTTCTAATTTGAATTTTAATGGTTCAGTAATAAGAGCAATTTTATGACACAAGACAGTAAATCAAAGTTTTAGTGACTTTAGTTTATCTTTACTGATAATATCGCAAATGTGTCAATAGGTAGTTACAAGTTGTTTCAAGTACCAGGAAATAACAAATCAACAAATAATAAATAAAACCAAGAAACATGACAAATGCATGATAAAACAGGAAATGAAACATTTCATTTTGTCTTATCACAATATTACTTGTGTCAGGAACTTTAAGATAGAAATGGGTGATGTTTTGAAATAGGAATGATAACAGAGTCAACAGACAATACCATTGTGTAGTGAAAACTTTTTGAAGAGCAACTTTATCATAGTTTAGTAGAATATTTTTTATCTGTGGTATGCTGGAAGTTATTTATTTACGTAATTTACAATAGATAACTTATTTTTTAAATGTTATTTATTGATATTGACTTCAAATATTTTATAGTCATTCATAACTTCTATTCATTTTTAATTTTTTAATTATTATGCTGATAGGACATCATACTCTTTATATCAAAACTTTATGAATGTGAAGAAAGAGGGAGAGAGAGAAAGAAGAGAAGCAATTTTAGATGACTGCTTATCTTTATAATTCTTCTAATTGGACAAACTTCATTGAACATACCTACAAACATTTCGCTGAATATCAATGAACAAAGTTTATACATATTTATATATACCTACTATAGCCATATTATAAAACAGTTAAATTAATGTGAATGATGTATTAGTTTAGTGTATGTTCTAACAATTAAATATAGATGCCATAGTCATAAGCAGGCTTCATAGCTATATTATCAAAGCTCCAGGAAAATACAACAAAGACAGGAAACTGTACAGTTCACACTGACAGACTGCCCACTTTTACGATTTATAACTTTAACTACTACTGAGAATCACACGCAAATGTTTGCAACTGTACCCTTCCAACGTAAAATCGTTACATTCACAAAAACAAATAAGAATCCCTTTGAAATTTACACACTTTACACCAGACCCACCCTTGCACCACATGTGACTATTATTATTAGTAGCACCGCTCATTCCCTCCAAACTATAACATCGTTAATTATTGCTTATTACTAGCGACGAATATTTACTACTTTTAGAACTTTGTTTACAACTAATTGTTTAAATATTGACGCGAGTGCCGCAGTAGCATAATAAAAGTAACGTCTGCCGTTCACACGGTAAACAATGTTATGTTTGTAAACATAATGCCGGCAAAATTCGGTGCCAACACTTACCAAAACTTTGACGAAACGGTTTTCCAACTCATCCCGGTCCGGCATCGGAGGCTTCGTCCGGTTCCTAGTCGAAGGCTGCCGTACATGGTGGCTCTTCGCCGACGCCACCGGACCGTCCAACATTGTCTGCTCCCTTGAAGTAATCAAACCCATTTTACACTGAACACAAACACTTAACGCGCACCACTTATAACATTTTTAAACAGCATCATGTCATTTTTATCACAGACAAAAGCACAAAACACGATGAGTAATAAATCAACAGGTCACATCACACGGTCGCGGCGAGGCGCAAAACTAGTTCGTCGGCAACTGCAGGCAACAACAAAGCAAACTCGAGCGAAGGGCGAAGGCCGAGCCAAACGTATGAAGTATGAACTGTCAGTAACGTGAAGTTAGCAAGAAGCGACTGATAAGCACGTCCAATCAGAAAGTTTCTACGTTCTGAAACTACACATCTAAACGTCGACAATGAGATTTTTCACCCATTATGTTTGAGTAGTACAATTTACTAAACTACCTAGATTTAAACATTGTATAACTAATTTTCTCGTACAAAGTACATAACACGCAAATCAAAAATAATATTTTCTATACTTTATTGTTCCTACATATTATCATTTCACTTTTACAATTTCTAGGTGTTCTTAATGCTGTCAAAAAACAGCTGACGTATTTGTTTTTTAAATAAGTCGGAAATTTTCAAGTACTAAGCTTTTGGCTACACGACTTTACCTGACCCGAGTTTACATCTTTTATTTTAAAACATTTCATCCAATTCCATGTATTTTTATTTCATTATTAGTAGTTTTTTATAGGATAAGTCGATAAGCGAGCGGGCGGATCACCTGATGGTAACCTATCGGCGTCGCCCATGGCCCATGGACACCTAGGACAACCAAAAGCGTTACAAGTACGTTACCGGCCTTTTGTGGATTAGGATTGGGGAAATTGGAGAAGGGGGACGGGGATAGTTGGGCCTTCGGTAACCTCAGTCATACGACGAAACACAACGCTACGTTGTTTCACGTCGGTCATCTGTGAGGCCGTAGTATCACTTCAGTCGAGCCGGCCCATTCGTGCCGAAGCATGGCTCTTCCACACGTAGTAAATAGAAATACAATACATATTTAATTAATACATAATACTAATGCAGATAAAGTCATTCAAGGTTTACGATAACGACAGTTATATAATCTTTTTTATAGGTGGCAACAAAATTTAACATCACCCCTTCCGCGAGGGGACTAACCGGTTGCCATACATAAAGTAACGTATGTAGGTATAGGTAGGTATATAAATTCCTGACTTCTACAAGGGAGAGGAATTGCGATCAACGTTGCGTTTGCGTGTTATGTAGATAATGTAAACTATTTTTGATCATCACGCCGTCCAAAATCTGAGTTGCCTCCTCCACTATACTTATTACCCTCTGCTCCTCCACCAAGCTGCAGATATATCAAAGAGGATAATAAGTTACATTTTATTCTAGCAACAAATAAAAGTTATCTGTATTACTTCATTATCGAATCCAGAAGACACTCTTTTCCTATTTAGTTGACCTTAGAGGAATTTTTCCTACTCAGGATTTCGCCGACTTTTTATAAAGTGTAAGGAATTTGTCCAGCGAATTAAGACTAACGATTTTGTGCATCAGTGCATGGTAGTAATGCAGCTTTTTGTCTGCGAGGTCTCTCTGATGACTACCTACAGACCACAGATATATTAAAGAAGAATATTTCTGTGCGACCTACGACCCTACAGTAGCGCTTACAGCTCTCATTCACCCTTTTCTGAATAAGATCATATCATATTGAGATTAAGATGTGATGCCGATGCAAGCTAGATAGTAAGATCACGATCCTCGTTTATAACAAACTTGTTAATACAAACCAGACTCATGTTACCCTGGCGCCTTCATAAGCTACCATATTTACATATGTGAATGAGGGTAGGGTTTAAATAGAAAATAAAAACACCACATTTTATTTATATAATTTATTGGTTATATATCATTTTTATGTTTTATTCGTACAAAATTATAGCGGTAACGAGAACAATGTTATTGCCCGTAGTCTATTAAAATAATATACAATACACCAATATTTTTGTTAGCACCATTTTTTTTTATTTTTTCAACTTTTCTACAAACATACCATTACCTTATATTGCTACGAATGCATAGTAATAACGAAAAGTTTATGGTCTTTTAACTTTTTCCATAATAATGTAATTAACTAATATTAAAAAAATCATTAGTTTGATAATGGTGATCAGACGTAGGAGTACGTGTCTACAACTAAATGAACTTACAATAGTCACTGAAGTGATGTGTGGCCGCGACGGTTACAGAGCCAGCGGCGACACACGAAGATAATTTGGTCCAGCTTCAACAACATTCAGTTTACACTTTGTTAATAATATCATGAATCTCCACATCGTCAGTACAGTCTTTGGTTAGGACAGAAGAGATATTATCAGAGATTACATAACTTAAATTTATAATATCACAAGCATAATAAATTGAAACACTTCATACTTAGGAAGTTCAGTCATACATTCATATGATCGTCGTGTAAGAAAGCTGATAAGATTCATCTATAATTTAATAGAATGATCATTTCCATAATTGGGACATCTACGCTAAGGCAAAATAAACTAGGAGCAGAGTGCATAACGTATAGTGCGGGCCGTGGAGCGTGGCCGTGCTACAGGCTACTACTACAAGCGCTACGTATAGATGGCGACACTGCGACACTACAGTTAGACACAACCGACAAAGGGTACAATGCACCAAATACTATGCGAAGAACGTACAGTAATGTACATCGTCGTTTTGTCCTACTACTTATGTTACACGTACTTTTTAATACTTTCAAGGCATATCTTGCGTTTACTAAATCCACCTTAAGCTAAACTACACCTTACATTTTAATTGCTACGTTCCGCGCTCCCGAGTGCGTCTTACGTCCGATAAATATTACAAAATAATTTTTATAATGACTCGAGAGCGTGGAGAACGTGTCTATCACTACTAAAATCTTTAAAGGCACAATAAATGAGCTTATGGCAGCATCATGCCTACGATACGTATAAGGGACAACAAAAGAAGACCTCCTGTACAACTAACGCAACGCTAAGAAGGTCAAGTAGAAACAAATCAAACACTACAAGAAATGCTTGTAACCTTTGTATACTAATCTAACATAATTACTCCCTACTGAATAATATCGTACCCTCGGGACCAGCGCTCACTGTCAAAGGCTTGTCGCCGCATGAAATAATACACCGAGCAATTTACGAGAAACCGAATATACCACCACCGAGAGTAGTCGCCATTAACTAAATCTCATTAAGCAGTACTCGCTAACTTAAGATACGACACGGAATACTCTACACTACATCAGGGGACTGTCCACTTTATGGGCATACAACGTGGCAGTTCCTGGGTACGCTAAGATGTCACCGGGTATCTTTAGTGCAGAAGGCAAATTTTAGCGAATAATTTAGTTGGATCAGGAATTGCATCGCAATCGAGGTGCTGAATAGAGACGAGCCCGCGCGGGTGTCACTTGGAGGAGGGGTAGTAGTAGAGCACGGCGCAGCCCGGCAGCTGCCAGCGCGAGGCGTGCAGCTCGATGAGCTGCAGCAGCGTGCGGCGGATGGAGGGCGCCGCGCCCGCCGTCAGGAACGCGTCGCGCACCGCCGTCAGCAGCCGCTCCAGCTCGCCCGGCAGCTGCGACTCCAGGTCGCGCCCGATGTACGTCAGCACGAAGAACAGGTTCTCCGTCTGTCCACGGTACCGCTCGTACAACACAAGCTTACATCTCCAACACAGTATGAGACAAGACGTGGAAAAGACATGCTTCCGTTCGAATGGAACACGACTGAGTGAATGGTGTTACCGGAGGCCCAATTACCCTTCTTCCCAATCTCTTCAATCCTCCAAAAGGCCGACACCGCACTTGTAACTCCTCTGGTGTTACAAGTGTTCTAGAGTGCCGATTGCTTACCATCAGGTGATCCGTCTACTCGTTTGCCGATTTATCCCATTAAAAATAAACTAATTAAACTTTAGCTGATATTCTTTCAATCAGAAGTGACAAAAACATAGGTCAAATTCTAAAAGTCCAAATACAATGGTTTAGCCATTGCTGTAGATCTGCAACATAAGTGCGTAAGATAGGTAATATACTCACATCGCTAGCAGAAGGCACAGGCTGACGGATGCAGTCCTCGCAGCACTTGCAGATGAGCGTGAGCAGCACCTGTCCAGGCTGAGCGGAGGCACCGCGGCGCTGGATGGCGCGCCGTCGGAGCTGGCAGTACATCTCCAGCAGGAACGACAGGAACGCCATCAGGCGGGGACGACCGCCGCCCACCGTCGAGCCCAGCAACTGATACCATTCACAACAAATTTAATTAATTAATAGGAATGGTACAGAAGCTAAAGTTGGGAAAAACGTACTAAAAATGTATACACACTGAGATTGTTTAAACGTTGCCCCACTTTAGGATTTCCTCCTGTGTCGAGGGTGCGTTTACAAACATACACATGAAGAGTTGTGCGGGAATAAAACCCGCTACATGTTGCATGGCAGCCCGTTGCCCAGCCACCGCGCCAACCGGCAATCAATTGGAGGGTTTATAAAAGACCTGTCTAAAATTTGATTTTAATCGCGTTGGAGAGTAATGCGTCTGTACGAATGGGTCGGTTCTAGCGAAGCGGCCGGCAATGCATTCGGAACCTTTTTGATCTTACGATTCTCCATCAGATGAACCGTTTGATTTGCCCGCGTATCTGTAAAAAGATGTAGTGTGTGTACCTTGTCCCGGTCGTGGTACCACTGCTGGCAGGTGTTGAGCAGCGACTCGAGGAAGGTCTCGGTACTCTCTCGCTCCACGACGGCGATGCAGCGCCGCGCGGCCGGCAGCGCGTACCGCGGGGACTCCACCGCGCGCGACACCAGGTGACCCACCGCGTCCATCAGGGTGCGCGCTGATACTGCGTTCGGGTCTGAAGAAACCACCATCAGATGTTAAGATACATACCACAAAACTGAATTGAGTCCTCAAGTAAAACACGTAAATCAATTCTAAAGGCAAAGTATTCCTACCGTTTTCACAATGAGCAATCAGTTTTCTTCCCTTATTCAATAGGTTCACACTTCTCGGTTTTGATCAGAATTCTAGGCTACAGTAGCATCTAGAAATGAAAATCATCAAAAAAGGAAGGTATACAAAAATGCTTGCCTTCGAGAGCCTTATCGATGCATTCCTGAATTTCGGGCGGGAAGTTGCCGAGGTCCCCTGCATCGGCAGCGAGTCCCAAGGCCGCCATGCCACTGGCCAGCGCGTCAGCCGACGTCAACGACTTGGAGCGCTTAAGGCCAGGCGTGAACGACTGAGGCCTAATACTCTTGCCATTGCCGTTCGTCAGGGACGAAGGCGGCGACTTCTTCTTCTCCGGAATGATCGCTTGCTGAGGCTGCAGCTTGAAGTGGACACGAGGTCCCACCTGTAATGGTACACGAAACAATGTTATACTTCTCGTTATTAGATCATAGTAAGCTGCACTTTTCTCTTAACTTTTCCCACTTCGGTTGAGATCGACGAGATAGGCTGAAAGCAAAGCATTTTATACGGAGCATAACTCGCTAAAGGTGGTACCATAATGACACTTAATCGAGTTACCAATAATTACAATTGTAATAAATGTTGGAGCAATGAAGTCTGGAACATTTTACAATATTATCAATTGATGTCCACACAGGGACTGTAGAAGTGAAGTCACATAGCTAATTGGATTTCAATATTTTAATAATTTTACGAACCTATTGTGAATAGTGTTTCAGTTCTCAAGAGCTAACAAACGTTTAGTAATCCGCAAGAGTAGTTAGGTAACTTGTCAACAATGAAAACTCTGGGAACACGGGGCACATCAAATAGCCTTTCAATTTTCATAATTAGAAGCTGATCTGATGACTAGATGCTGAGTAAGATGACCAGATTACATTGTATACACGCTTGCATCTCATAATGACTGACCGTTTTAATTATACCTCTACTTAAGGCGTAGGTACCATTTGCCATTGAATCATTATTTTCTTGTAATTTGTGCAGCGGAACCTTTCTCTGATTTTTTTCCAAACGACATCATATATTTCTTCCCTCGTAAAGGTAATCAGAGGATGCATGGTATCTAAAGGTACCACCAACTTTTACTAGACTTTTAACTCGTAACATAGAAAATGAGCCTGCTTCGACACATCAGGAAGTCGCCAAGCCTGTGTATGAACACTATACCTTGGTAGGGTGTGGAGGGCACTTAGTACATGCTTAGTAAAAACCGACATCTAATTGTCCACTGATTCTGATGTAGTGGTTTCAGAGAGGAGAAGTTAATACTTAGTGGGATATTATAGGTATGTACCTACTTAAACTACAAATCACTTCCGATATAGCAGAAGTAGAGCTGACAAGGTAGACACTACTTTTGTATTACTTATTCTGTGTTCTGTGGAAGTACCTGTGCATGCGGCACGTTCCCGCTGGAGGCGCTGTTGAGGAGTGCGTGGGGCGGCATGACGGGCCGGTAGTGCGGCGGTACGTGCGCGTGCAGCACCGCCGAGCGCGAGTGCTGCAGCCCCACCGTCGCGTAGCCGATGCCCATCGCCGGCCTGCAATGTTACATGATACACGTTACATATCTACTTTACACTATTGCATACAACTTGTTCTAAGGCAGTTGTCTCACCGGCAACGATGAACGAGTAGCGAGTAGAGCAAGAATTGGAAGCGAGTTGGCGACCCGCGGGGAGCGCGTATAGTTCCGATACCTGCTCTTGCGAGTGCTCGCCGACAGTGTAAACAGTCAGCGATCAACTATTCGTATATGCATCTCTTTTGTTTACACATGTATATCTATTAATACCTACGTTTCTTGAGCGAGAAAATAGCCGATAGTTACTCGTTTTCTCGTCGGCGGTGGGACAAGTACCTAAGACAGGACTTCAAACAAATTGATAAGACTTTGGTGTCATGTGGACCTAGTGTTTCAAAAGTTCTACTTTAAGTTTTGTGGCTGTAAATAGCAACTTTATGTCCCATTTATGTTATGACGATCTAAATGAAGTTTCTCGAGCAATAAATAAGCTTAAAGGTAGTTAAAAAAAAATAGAATGCATAGTTGTTGTGGGATGTAAAATGACTTACACAAAGTTCAAGTGAAATCAAAGACCACCGAAGATCAGCAGACAAAACGGTTAATTTCCGCGCGTCTACGATTCAGCGCAAGAAAATGTGTATTTTATGTAATGTTTGTAAAAGATGATAATGTGCGTGTAATATATGTCATGTTTATACTGCGACAATACGACAGAATCGTTTATCTAGTACAATGCCAGCCGCGCTCGTTAATGTTATTTAAGTACGGTACATATCACACGAGATTAACAGCATCGCGAAAAATCAACAGCGGTACTGAAGTAAATTACATAAAATGTAGAACGCTTGCTAGACAAACTCAAATGAACTCGGCAGTCTTATGTACGTTTAGACAATAAATAATAGTATTGTGATAGTACTCTACCAATTTACAATTTACTTCCCCGCATTTTACACGAAGGATTCCATGATTGTAGGAAAACTTCAATCTGATGAAATAACAATGTATGTTTCAAACAACACTGTGAATGAGAATTCACAGTGATTCATAGCAAACTATTTCTATCTCAATTTATAGACACTTGTAATTTATGGCTAAATGTAGTAAGGAAAATTATTTCCTTTAAACTAAATAAATCTTTGGCAGAACGTTCAAAGCGTTAGCAGCAAAGCGAGAGATATGATTTCCGTTAAATTCCTATTTGTGATTGCTATCTCCCATCCTTGCGCTTTTATTATCCATGTTTGTGCCTGTTACATACTCATAGGTAATTAATATGGAGAACAAGTTGCACCAGTGCATAAACTATACATAAATGAACCAGGTGATGTCAACGTTGACGTATTGTGTTCTTTCATATTCAAATGCAGTGTGCCATTACTGAACTTCCTACATTGTTTCACACATCTCCCTTACAACATCATATTATTGTTAAAACTAAACGATGATGAGGAAAAAGCCACCCACTTTAATGAGTTTTAACTGTTTGAAACGTCTCGTTAAAGCTAATATATTAATCATAACAGTGCCGAATGGTGCTGCCATAACGATTGTTATTCATGGTGGACAATGGCAAGCAGTGGCGCGTGCCTTATAGCCACGGGCAATGGACATAAACCTCATAAATAATAAGTAATCATTGTCGTAATGCCGTGCGCACTAACTAGCCCGTTATGGTGCTCCACTCCTGCGCAATGCCACGCAAATTATCATTATGATAGGAAACGATGGCGAGGATTAATCATGAACTCATTGTGGTTAAACATATAAACATTCTACACCATACGTTGCTAGTACCGTGGATATTTTAATAATGAGATACAAAATTTTGACTACTTAAGTACTTGCATCCTGATTTTTTTTAAGTTAAATGACAGAAGACTATAAACTGTTTCTTTTGTTGGAATAGAACGTTTTATTTTATGACAATTTAACAACACAGTCAATGAACTTGAATTGGTTATGAAGCATAAAATTTAAAATGAAGCATCTCAACTAAACTATGTAGATACCAACTAGAAAGAAATGACTATTGGGTAATATGCAAAGGACATTCTCAAAGTCTAACCAAGCATCTCCAATTCTCTATGGATGCAGATTAAGTTAAAATTAAAATGATCCCCAGGATATTCATTATTGACCTAGATTCAATAAGTTGAAGGTCCATTTATAATATTTCCCCTCGTGACACAGACAAGGTGTCTAGAGAGTAGAGAGCCAGTGTTTCATAACCGGTGCGGTGCCAGTGATGACGTGTCATAAAATGGGGACAAGTGGCGTGTCCTGTCCACACTGCACTCTATTGTCGCTTCGCAACCAAGTATTTATCTAATTTGTGCCTCAAACTGGCAGCACGTGATGTATCTCAACAAGTGGAGTTGAATGCCCGGACTTTTTGTGAAAAAGTCAACTTTGGCGTGTTAAAATGCGCTTTAAAGAATTGTAAATTTTGAGGGAAAGACTGAAATAGTCTTACAGAAGGTTCAGTAGTGCTAATACTTCTAAACTTACTGTAGAATTCATTAATTCTTGCTTCATTATATCGTGCAATTTAAAAACTTTGTCAGCGGGTTTTTACAATTACTTTACTTTCTATAAAGACCAGTGCATCATAATAATTAATTGGCGTTCACAGCAAGAAATTTTTACTTTAAAATATACTCATAAATATTAACTTATCAGACACTTAAAATGATTCAATAGTTTTTAATGTCGTTTAGCACGATTTACATTGAATAAATTGGTTTAATTAAATGGACAAGCAATGTAAAGTTTGACGCATTGTTTCTTACTGGTGAAAGTATTAAACTTGTCACTGGTAAATCTTGCTAAACTACGTATGACATTTATTCAACCACAAGACGACACGAACATTGAAAACACGCTGAAATAATTTTATTACTCATCATGGGTACATTAAAATATTTAAATGTAGGAAGTCCTCGGCTTAAGATTAAACAGTCAGCTGCCAAAGAAAATTCAAATGCTTTCAATTTTATAGCAGTTTCGACATATTTAATTCACTCAATGTGAATCTAAAATTAAATGCTCGAGTGGTCCAAGCCGAAAGTGAGAAGTTGTGTTGAAAAAAATGTATACTTAAATAAAAAGGTATGTGATGGTTGCAAGGTTCTGTGAAAATAAACTCTTTTTCACTGGGTTGAAGGCAGTGGCGTGCACAGGTTTTCGAGACAGGGTAGGCAACTAAATATCGTATGATTAAACCCCTCTCCCCCCGCCGGTCATACAATCATGCTCACACAAGATAGGTACATGTACATAATACATTTCGAAAAGTGCGTTCAAGAATATTGTGGTGTATTCTTTCGCCAAATTACCTACACTGACGACTCGCGTATTTTTTGTGAAGTACTTCATCAGCTATTGAATAAGCCAACAAAACTTACAAATAATGAAGGATCTATTATTTATTTTAATAATAAGGCATAAATTTGATGAACCAAATTTCATTATGGAATTGTTTAGTTTAATCAATCTGTTCAAAATCATAATATATTGCGAATTTAAGAGCGTAGGTACCTACATTATGTCAACAAACAAAACAATAACAAGCGCGGCCGGCTGTGGCCGAGCCGGCCGAGTCTATGCGGTACATATGTTATTACTACATTACATAATTATTAATAATAAATTAATATGTAAATCAGTACAACCCGAAGTCTAAGTTGATATTTTTAAGAATTATCAAACAATAAACAAGAAAGTCAAATAAAAGATCCATTATAGTACATATTTACATTACCTACCTTTTACTTGGGTCAATTCTCGTAACTCGAGTACACCTCTGCCTATGGTCTTTACCTGAATCTAGTCCGATAAAGGACATTTTCTTGCGAAATGTTACTGTTTTTACTTTCAACAAACACATAAAATTACCTATTATTCACACACACTTCACAATCGAATAATATAGGTACTTGTACTAGAAACTGATAAACAAATACACTATTTGAAAAACCTACACATATATTTAACTACTACTACACATTTATGCAACTTTATGTTTAAAACTAATTCCTAATAATTTAAACGAAAACATAAACAAAGCGATCGCACATCACATGAAAACAATATGGCCGAAAACATTGGAAACGAATTGAAGTCATTACCAATAGTCAATTGAGTGTTTATTATAAAAAAATGTAGCTTAAAAATTAAGGTAATGCAGCGTTTAATTTAAAAAAAACAAAGGTTAATTTAGTAAGTCAAATGAAATTGCATCATCGTCTTAAACCAATATTTCATACTAAAAAACATTCATTCATATAATTTGAAACGTTGTAAATGGCGCCATCTTGAAGTTTCAATAACTTCCTTTTAACTTTTATAATAATAAAGTCAACTCCTCGTTTAAAATTTCTATAAACCGACAACGCGTAAAAATGTTAAGCTTTAATTAAAACACTTGAAACATATTTGTTAAATACGCATTTATAAAAATACATTCGCATTATATCGAACGAGTTCAGAAGTTTCAACAAAAAATTCAATAGATGGCGCTGATGTACTCCATTCATCAGTACTTTACGATATACAGATTTTATCAATTTAAAACCTTTTATAATTTAATTGTTTTTAAAAATACAATAACTTGTTGCTGTTTTATTGTTTTAGAATTCTTAATAAAATACGATCGTTTTCCAAGTGATGAACGAACGGTCCTCTAATTTTTTAGTTGCAAACATTTTGTCAATCAACAGGAATCGTGTAATATAATTATGAATGGTTATTCTGTACCGTGACTATGGTCGTGAACTTCACGCATGCGCGGTGCATACTTTTGGTACATTTCTTTTGTGACGTCAGTACTACCAACCAAGATTTAAGGAATAGTGGCGCATGCGTGGTGCGTGCGGGGCGCATTCATTACTTTACAAAGGCGCGTATTTATGTTAGCCGTTTTTTTACAAACTTTTATTATATTATTGAATTTTAATAAACGCGTTTGTACATTTTATGTATGTTATATATTCACGATATTTATAGTTAGACAAAGCCTTTTCGCCTATATGGACTGCACGCCACTGGTTGAAGGGGCAAGTATCTAGAGAAATGAATCGTGGTTGGTAGGAGGATAAACTTCAGGAAAATTGTAAACAATATCTACATAACCCCTTTTTGGAAACTGGCAGCTCCTTCACGTTACATATCAATGTTGTCCAAATGTATCAAATTATATTCATAACAATATTCACACATTTTCAAGGTTGATTTGCGAATAAATATACAAACTAGGTCATAAATGTGACAAAACAGATGACACAGAAGCTGTTGGACATCGGTTGCAGACATCGTCCAAACAATCGATCAAACATTGCGTAAAGGGTCATAACAGATAGTTGATACTGCATGCGGTCAGTGTGGGACAACTGAGGCAATTACGTATAAACAAGACAACCAACACGATAGCTCATATTGCAGCCAGAATGCCGTGACTCACAACTAATAAAATTGCACGCCGCCGGCACCAGCGCAATTTTTCCACGTAGGTACATCACGCCGATGTCTTCACAAATTATATTGTTATTAATGATCCAAATTGTATTTAGGAAAGTTACAATACAGTTCCAATTTTAAAAGGATGTTTAGAAACAATTTCAACTGAGTAGGAGGCCCTGTCGACACATAGACACACATGCAGGCCACGCCACTTGTGTTGACAGAATTTGCATAAAATTTACCAATTGCCAGAGAAGTCAGTGGAAAATCGTGAACAATTAGTGAAAATGGTTAAAAACTAAGCGGATGAAGTCATATTTATAAACAGAGAGTAACGCTGTGCCTTGACCTTGAGATCGTGTAATGACAAGTCGACAAACATTAGAATGATGTCTAAAGATGATGAGAATGACGCACCGCACTGTCGCTCTATTGAATGGAATCTGTTTAGTCTGGGAACTAACTAGTGTTTGAGTGATACAAGTTATTGATACAAGAGCCAAATTAAAGAGCAATCACACAAATTATGGAAGATCAGAGTGTCTTAGTGAGTAATGAAAATGAATAGCAAAAGTTGCCGATGTGTTTGGGAAGTGGCTACGTAATTTTATAACCCACGCTGTTTCTACGATGCCAAAAAATATTCACGTGTTCGTTCATCGTTTATTGAAACCAGATTTTTATTTGTCTGCTTATATACACTACTTCAGACAATATTTTGGATTTCAGCATATTTTCAAGATTATTTCTATTGATGGTGAAGCAACTCTCAAGACGTCTTGGAATAGTGGCCTGTGATCTTACTGGCATACATAGAGCAACCTGCTTTTGTCCCCCGAAAAAGCACGAGTGGTATTTACTCATAATCCGAGCCCAAGACTGCGAAAAACCAAATAATATTTTAGAAAAACATCTACTTGGTTTCAATCTAAAGGTAAAGAGAATAATTATTGTAAACGGCTGACCAAATAAAATGGCACATAACACACTTAAATGATAACTCATAGTCTTAAGTAAACAGTTGTTCTTGTGTGTGTTACATTAAATTGTCTTTGTAAATGAAACTTATCGTGACCCAAGGCATCAACAGATGTTTTTGATAAGGACACCTCGTGTTTCAGCTCATCATTATTTACCTACATGTACAACTCATAGCCCAATTCACTCTGTTATCTTTTAAGCATTTTCAAAATTTTGTCCTCAACAAGGTGTCAATCAGCTACGATGCGCGACAAGAGATAAAAACAAACGTAAAGCTGCGCTATGGCACTGTTCTATCAACGTTTCACTAGCGCCTGCGCATACCAGCAACAACAAAGGGCAATAAACAGGGTAGAATCTTTACGTCCATGTCGTCAATTGGGTAAGTCTTCGAGTTTAGTGGCTCGAACAATTCTGAGATTAAACACTGCAGCCTGACTAACAATGTTGTTTCGGAAAATTTTGGTACTCACACGTCAGACGTTGAATATCTTCCGCGAACCATTTTCACAACAATCTTCGTTCAGTTAGACTAGAATACACACCAACTATATCACGCTCATCATCGCACTATTTATTTAAATCTTGATGTTTACGCGAGCTACAATAAAATTTATCACTATCTTCAAATGCAAATCTCAATGCAAACTTGGCAATACTGCCGACAAATTACGTCTCATTTCCCTCTTAACATCACAACTTTATTAATAGAATCCAGTATCCGCGCACATCCTATCCAGAGCTTACACTTTCCAGTGCGCGGTGCATAAACTTCTCGTGAAGTGGGCGATTTGTCGGCGAATCACTCAAACGGCACTGTTGAGATTTGTACTCAAAAATACGGAGTGTACGAGTCAAGTTCGTTCGGAAGCGTTCGCGATTCGCGTTATAATTTGCTCGTTGTTTGGTCGCGGTCGTGTCGGGAACTCCGCGCGTCTCCCGGCGCGTGCGCGGACTGCGCGGGGCGGCACGCTGTTCAGCCCGTTTTGGCGCGCGCGGGCGTGTTCGCGTCACCGTAGCCAAGAACAAAGTGATAACAAAAACTCTACAATTGATACTACGAGTACGTGCCTACATACGCGTCGTGAACATCACAGTTTCGCACATTATTTCATAGATTTTTGTTTTGTCTCTGTTGGCGCCGTGCCAGCATCGACCATCGCTTCCAGTCACGTTACTACCGTTGATGAGAAACAAACTACTCGACACCAACCAGAGCAAGGTCAAAAACCGTGTGGACGACGGAAAATTATCTGAATTCTTATTAGAGGTATATGAAGTAACTTCAACTGGAAGCCAAAATATCTATGTAAATTCGAATATAAATAAGTGCGCTGAAATAGGTAGGTAGGTATTGAATCGATAATTTGACATTTAGCACGTTTGTACAATGGACAGGTTCATCGTTTGCAAAGTCAAGGTTTCACAGTCACTTCGCATCATGCAAATGCAATTAGACATTAGACGGCTATGACGACTGAGGCTAAACTTGTCGACATGATTTTATCATAAGAGTGGATGCAAAATACATGTTTGGTAAGCGAGCCCGCATGGCAGCAGTTGAAGAAATGGATGCACTGCACTATAAATAGCATCCAAGGACTATCATAATTCGTCATTTGTTTTATAGATCATGATCATGATTCATTAATTTTGTGATTCATTGATTAGGTGGACCCTCAACAAAGCAGTATTGTCTTGTAATAAATTGAGTATTAAGAAAATTGTATTCAATAAATGGGTCCAATGTCAGGTCTAAAAGTTGTACTTAATTATACAGATAGAACTCACCTATTTTGCAGGTCGGCAGGCTTGGCCATGGTGAACTCCTTAGCGTGAACATTGAGCTTGTTGGTCGAGGCGGGTGTAGATGCAGTGGCCGCTGTGGTCGAGGTCGTCGTTCCCGAAGTGGCAGCTGTAGTCGCCACGCCGTCTGTGCGGACACCTGGTGGTCAACGGTGGTCGTCAAGAGAAGAGGGAGATAGGACAGATGTCGTGTACTAGTTATTAATGGAAGACAGTAAGATGTACAAAAGCACGCTCCACTTGACAATAGTTGTGAAACGTTCTTACATAGCGGTGTCATCAGGGTGTGATCGTGAGACAGGTGATGAAGTGAAGAGTTCTGAACTTTTGAGTTGAAAGAAATGTAATAAATATCAACAGCACCACATCCCTTCTATCCGGAAGGAATATGGCTAACATTTACGTATGAATGAACAGATGGAACTTGGCCAAAACACCGTGACACACTAAGAAAATATAGATCAACAAGAAGCCTGAAACTCACTAATACATATAAATAATAGATTTATTAACCTATTGGCTAAAGACAACATGGCGTAGGAATTGAAATTACATTAGTTTTAAGGGCTCCATAGTAAAAATATTTAAGATTTTTCTTCTTTATCGTTCCTATTAGAAGATATGAGATAAGATGGTACAAGATTATTCATACGAAAAGCAGATTAATACATAGTTCGAATGTTTCACCCTCTTCCTTCGTCACTTTGCCAAAACTGTCCTACGTTGAACGCACTAAAGTAAACAATACTGACATACTGAATTTAAACAAAGTCAAGCTCTGTTTCAGCGATACAGTTTATCCGAAATTCGCAAATAATTTACCAAAACATGAGTGAATCAAGTGACTCAACCATGTTTAACAAAGCACTTTCGAATAGATAGAACAAACTAGTAGCATGAAACACAATGCACAATGTTTGACATCAGGAAGGAATCAAATCAAAATATTGAACACCTAAACAAAACCATGTATCAAAAATTAATGTAGATACCTAATGTTTACTATTTACAAATGCATAGAGCTCAAAAAGGTACTGGAGGACTTGGAGGTGCGTGATCAGAGATCACGGTGATCTTATAGCTGTTAAGTGCTAGGATTGAAAAAAGGATGCAAGATACTTCTTAGTACCGTCTATTATCTCACTCATGGCCATGGCTAAGAAACATGTCAGGTTTTCGAATCGTTTTCAATAAACTTTTCAGCAATAAAGTCAACCTGGATAATTTTCCAAATGAAAACAATTTAGCATGAGTTAAAGCTTCTGAAGCCTTATGTCTCAACATTATAAACTCTTCATCATCAAAATGTTTTGAGTCATATTCAAATCATAAACCATTCTACGGAGTAACTGCGTCACAAATAGTCACAATGTTTAGCAGAGTTACTATATAATTTATTTTCGGATAACGACGCAACTTTTCAAAGAAATATGCTTCAGCTTTTAGGCAGCATTATGTCATCATTAAAATCTCATAACAGTGGATTGTTAAGTAAAAACTTCCTTCACAAAGCAGGTTCAGCGTTTTAAGAGGGAGAATTATTATGGTGTATAATAATGTGTACCAGTTTACAGCATTGGTCAATACGTGCATGCATAGTAAAGGTACAGTTAGATTGATTGATGTCCGGTGGGCCGCTAGCTTGGTCTGGTATGTGGGTCTTCAATTATATACGTCAATTATTATTTTACTCACGCTTGGATTTAATGCGAGTGCATCACATTTTGTATCACAAAGAAAATGGTCTCAAAAAGAAGAATCTTATACAAGGCGATTCCAAATGCATTTCGGGTATTTTTGTCCTTAGTTTCAGATTTCTGCAACATTTTGCTTTCAACATCAATCAAGACGATTGTTTTTTGAAAATCTAAAGGACAATGCGTACTTATGATAGGGTTTTTTTTAAGGGGGGAAAATCATCGAATAACTTTCCCCCTGGCTCAAAGGCTCCCGCCTGGGTGAGGCGGGAGGGAGTGTCAGACTCTTACTGACTAAAAACCACCCCGTTCCTTCTTCTGCACGTCGAGCCGGAGCCCCGGTTACCCGTTACGTGGTTTTAACAGTGGGCACGTAACCGACATATCAGAATGTCAGAATTTGAAAATGAACTATTGGATTTAACAATGAAGAAACAAAAAGAACCGCTTATTTTACAAAATAATAAACGGCAATGAATCTAAATCCAAATTAAAAAAAAATAAAGCCATATAGCAACTATATAAAATCATCACGAATGTAGTAAGCGTGTGCATCTAATTGGGTAACCTAGATCATCGCGCGCCACACGCGAGCCGGTCCCGCTCAACTGAACAAAAGCGAAACTTTCATCCAAGATTTACTGGCAATGTATTTTACAGTATTCGCTGAAACTCATATTTCGACAGGGAATAAGTAGATTTCAAATTAGGCTAGCTACAGTGGCGACACTTTCCTTTTCATGAACAACGATGATGACTTCGTTACAGATATTGGGAAAAATGCCTATTCAAGATAATAAGCATGTGAAAAACCTACATATTCCATTGCATCTTCATCGGAGTACAATTGTAGAGTCGGTAATTGAACCACATTTTGCTGATGTTCTACAGTCTGCTAATATAACTAGAGTAACAAAGAGACACTTTTCTCGTCACAAAATTGAAAACTATTCAGTTAATTTGTGAAAATGCGAGTCTGACATCTTAAAACATCACATTTAGAACAAACGACAAAATGTCACACAATTCAAAAACGTAGACTTTAGACAGCTTCGTCTGTTCCACACTATCACATGCTCATCTTTCAAAAGTCAAAAATCAACTGCCAAGAATAATACACATTTTTTATTTACATTATAATTAATTTCCATTGTATAGCGTCGCCAAAATAATCATGTTTTGTGACGGAAATAACACATGTACCGCCAAGAGTCAATGTTGACATTACGGAAAGGTTTCAAACAATCTCACGACCGGCATACGGACCGTACAGCTCAATGTAAATAAATTGGCGATTTACTACAACTACCGCTGCCTGTTGCTGAATGTATAAACCAACCTGGGGCTTCAGAAACTGGTTGTGCAGCAGTCACGGTCACAGACACCGATACCGGAGTCACGGACACGGGGGAAACAGATACCGGCGACACCTGAGCCACGGGGGCGACCGGCGCGACCGCCACCGGCTGAGACAACGACTGTTTCACGATACACCGAGACATAATAATATCTCACTTATATCACAACACATAAAATCACAAACAAACATTCGTCTGACAAACGTGTCCCGTCGCAACAAACATTCGACTGTCGACCTGTTCCAAATATGAAATTTGTTTATTTTTAATTTTGGCGCCAATTTTACGTAGAGACGCTAGCTAGCCAAGTATTACATTCAGCCTGTGACAAATCGAGAATCGGTATGCAACACATTAAAATCGATTACATTTGAGTTACATAAATAATTGAATGATAGTTATTAGTGTGAATATTACTGAAAGTGTTGAATTGTTAGCGAAATTGTTATAAATTAATGATACATTCAATACTTGTTGTATCTGCTTCTTTTACGTGTATCTAAATATTGCCAAGAGTATTTTATCGCAAAATTAGGAAAGCAGACAATATCGAGTTGTAGCCGCTTTGCCATCAAATTGGTCGAGTACCACAGTTTTCTCCTTATTGCCTTATTAGCAGATCATCTAATTTTACGTACCAGGAGGTCTGTAAATTTCCAGCGTAGGTTTCCCTTTAGCGTTGGTCAGAATCATGCTCCGTCGTTTTGCATTGTTGAACTGAAATAATAAAGTTATTTTAATGCTTTTCTGTTACCAAATCCAAAGCTAACATACAGACGATTAACTAACTGTTCAAATTAAAAAATAAAATAAAATATTTATGGATGATAAAATAGTTTTCTCGAGTTTAGATTAATCAACTACAAAATAACCACAAAGGCTATTGAGTTATGCAGACAGGACGTAGGCGTCGGAACAGAGCGTATCGCGACCTACCTCCCTACCTACGCATTGACTGCAATCGTACTAGAAATCCTTAGCGCATAGGTATCAAGGTCTTTATAATTTAATTAAATAATAAAAATCGGAACCATGGTTGCGTTATAAGATAATTTTCAGTCGAATAATCGAATATGCTCATGTTACAGATCGACTGATACTGACATATTTTGACAATTTTAAACTTTACTGGAGTAACATATCCATGATCGGAATCCATATTAATGTCAAGCGACACATCTGAAGGTTGGAACAGATAGATCATCCAAATTGATCAATTGAAAATAACAAGATATACCTGGTTATGATGCATATTGTGATGGGATTGAGGGCGAATGAAGCTCCGCTCCCGCATGATGACGCCGGGAGATGCAAAATCTTGCATCCTGTAGCTTCTCTGCAGCTCGTTACCAACACCGATTTGGGTCTGCATCTTGCCGATTGTAGTAATCAATTCAACGGAGTCAAGCACTATTCTCTTTTAGTAGTCTATGGTACAGCCCACGGATCCCTGCCTTTTTTGACGTCCTGGCTTTTACTTTTTATAAAGTTCACTGCTATATTTTTCTTCTTTGGTCGTTGACGCACTCAGGCTCAGTTAAATTTTTTAGTAGATATTTTAAATACGTAGTCAGAAACCTCTAATAAAATTAGTTTATCCTCTATCGATTATAAAATTGAATATTATCAAAATAAATACACTAGATCAATGACTAGTATTATAGTTACTTTACGCAATGTCACACCTATTATGATTAAGTATATTTTTTAATATTTACAATTTAAAAAATAAACAACTAACAATACAACGGGCAATACGCGTTAAAAATGCGATTTGAAAACAGCAAAGCGATTATAATAATGAATTAATTATTTTAAATAATCACAATTTTTATATTATTGTGACGTCACGTTAGAGATCACTATTTTTCTCTTTTTTTATATATGCATATATAAAATGTACATAAATTAAAAACCCTCTGTCGTGGCCACTGATAGAGGGCGTTCTGTCGAGATTTTTTCGTTTTTAGTACGGCTATAATACAAGAAATAGTGCAGGTATAATTTAGTGCCTGACAGTCACCGAGCGATTTTTACAATTTTTCGAGGGGCCGAGAAGTCACTTCTTCGGCTCCGATCTCGAATCGTTTCGTCGTAGGGGTTCGGTGAACCCTAATCTGAAACAAGGAAAGCATAATTTTTAATGGTGCCTGAAAAGGTTTCACATGAACAAAATACAAAAGTTATATAGGAACTAGTGAAATAACAGACCTTCTTAAGTACCTATGTCCCAGTTTTATATTATGTCTACACAATTGTTAATTTTAAAAAAAATCATTCAATAAATAATATTCATAATACCATATTCAAAAGCAAGTGTTTTTAACATTTTGTTTTCGTGAGACGATTCAACAAGGTTAAGTCCAGTTTCCCAAAATGGTGGCAACACTGAACGCGTGATATTGTTAATACTGCACAGATTAAATGAGTCAGTGGATTAGCTACGTATGTATGACACACCTTTATACTTTAATCACAAATATGCTGTCTCTACTTTGGATCTACTTTGGAACTTTGATCATCCTGCTGATGCTGACGCTATTCTTATAAAAAACCCTACACTACGTTTTTTTCTCTCTCTGTAGGTATTAAGTAATACAAACCTACATATTCACAATACGTTACGGTCATAGGTACAATAATATGTAGATTACACAAAATTTAACTACATAAATAAAACTTCTTCAAAGTCCCGAGGGAATAAACAGGTTGCTCATAGGGAGGCGTGCTCCATCGTCGGCCACATCATCGCTTACCAACAGGCGAGATGGTGGTCAAACGTCGACCTATAAAGTATAAAACAATGTTGTTTCTGCGCAGGAATCGATCCAGAGGATGTTCTTGTGTAGCGATAGAAGTTTCAGGCAGCATAATATACCTAACTAAGAAGGGAAACATAACAAAACCTAATTTAAAAACGAAAACGCTAAAATTGTAGCGTTTCGTATAAATCAACGTCCGCATTACGTCATTTCCTGATAATGCCTGAATATCTAGTTATACTAGCTATCTTTCAGTTTCCTAGTAACCGGTTTGTTCATTACAGCCAGTTGAAAATAAAGGAAACCACCAATTACGAGTAACTATTACGTTTGCCTACTGTTATACTTTAGTGCTAAGTTTAATTTCGCGCTATTTTTATTGCGACATTGGCTCATTAACTCACAGGGATTATTGCATAGTTTTTGTTGGTTCAGACAAGTTTTTTGCAGTATTTTCTATTTGTACTACTGTAGGTACTACTACGTTAACTTTATTAAATTAAGTATAAAGAAATATATAAACTTACAATACAAATAACTAAAAACTAAAATATTTACACCTTAAAAAATATAATAATAATAAAAATGTGCCGATAGTCGTGTCGGCCAATGGGTTAATCCCTAATAGCCTCGACGACCACCTTAGGAGGCTAGCGTTAGGCAGTTGGGTCAAGGGCCTGATACAGAAGGCAGTTCTCCTTGAAACGGCGCGCATTGTGAGGAGGTTTCTATCTCTGGAGCCCTAACCACCGGTAGCTTGGACCATGCTCCCACTACTGGTCGGCTCCTATTTTTATATTTTTAAATATTATTTTTTATACTGTAGTATTTAAAAATGTAATTTTAGAGAAATTTTAAATAAATATATGGAATAAAAATGTTATCTTAAGCGTAAGGCGTCCAAAAAAAAATTTCCTCGTCGCTATCGTGAGGTAGGGTGCCTATTAGACTGACAGCATTGCCACGTTGAATGGTAATGCTTAACCTTTCCCCAAGGTACTTCATTTCATACTACTACTGTGTAGTCGTATGAAATCCCAATTCATTTATCCAATAATGTGAATGGCAGAATGAGAAGTATTAATAGCAGATTCGGAGTTTTGGTTAAATCCTAACTAACAGCTCGGTGTCTGATAACGTACCTAGGTGCTAAGGGAATTTTACCATCCCTTCCTTCTTCTAAAGTCAATAGGGCAGAAGTTTGTAATCAAATGAAAAAGAAGTGATCGTTATTGGTTATTCAGTTAATAGCTTTCGCCATAGCAGCAATTTCGTAACGTCCACAGCGTAAAAATATTTAGTTCATCCTCATTCCCGAATGCTCCCCCATTCGGTTTAACGCTGCTGCTGCTGAGCAGATAAATAAACTTTTTATTATGTTTACTTCTTAACGTTACGCGAATGTTAAGCGTTACTATTTTTATTGAAGCCATAATAAATAAAATCACGCCTTCGCCACGCCCTCTACGTCTCGAAAACAAGACGCGTTGTACTAAAACTGAATAAAGTAATTTGAACTGACTTTCCTCCTTTAAACGCCATGGGGGTCAGGTGTCCGACGTTAGCAGAGGATTTGCCTTCAACAGTTTTCTATTGGCAGTCAAAGTCTTAATATGATGGAGACAGAGTTTCTAATTGAATTTCTAAATGCTCTAACGATAACTATTAAAGAAATTAAAACATGATTTTTATTCCATGCATAGATCTATCGAAGTAGGCAGTACTTCTTATGTAATGGGGGGGAGCTTATCATCACACACTGGTTGCATCATGATTATTGAATAAATATTCAAGTTTTTTTAACTTCATCTAGAAAAAGAAATCATGCACAAGCACATGAACGATTGTTTTTTCAGCTTCATAAATCAATCTCGTAATGCGAGTGTCAGTTATGTGACAGTAATGTCAATGGAAATAAGTTGAAATTGTGGAGTGCGTTGAACTGTGCGTACGTTCATCCAGCCGGCACGATTGAGAAATACTTTGTTTTCACCAAATGTTTTGGTGTATTGGGTTTTTAAGATAAACGGCGTCAACAGCAACAGCCTGTATATCACTGCTGTATGGCTACTGGGTTATGGCTTATGGGCCTACATGGGCCTCCTCTACATAACAATTTTTTAAACTATTAACTATTTAATTGAACTATTTAAATAAAAAAATATGTGTCTAATATTTTTTCATTATGTAACTGACGGACTAATTACATTTGTAATTTTCATGCACTGTCTACTACCCTATTGTTTACACTATAATATTAGTAAGTGTCCCGTATTCTAGACAATGCATTTTGTGTGACTCACCGCTCTCTCGCACAGACTGCGGTCTGTCGTTTCGTCCTCTGCACTGAGACTCGTTCACGTACTCGTAATAAATTCACTGCAACAAACGAGAAAGTTTATATATTAATCTTTTATTTATTATGTTTCAGTCGAGCATCTGTGGTTATTAAAATGATTAATAAATATGTTTTTCGGGTTATTCACGTAATTATTTGACGAGGTACTCGACTAGCTTCAAGCCATACTAGCTCATATTCAAGAGCAAGATTCTTTGATCCCTGACGTGACGACTGTTGCGTTGCTACTGTTTCATGAATATGAGCCTCTAGCATGGCTTGAAACTAGTCGAGTTCCTCATTTACAATCTAGTCGAGTTCCTCAATTACGTGAATAAGCTGAAAAACATAATAATTAATTCAGTATGTCTCACGAAAGTTATAACATAAATTAAAATAATTGTTGAAATTGTCGCCTCTTTGGTCTAGTGGCCACTAGAAAACTTAATTAGCAAGCAAGATTCAGCAAGAGATATTCTAGTTTGTTTCGTCTTTGCGCCAGGCTGAGCAATGGGATCTTCGATTTCGATATACTTAATCACAAACAATCATGGGACTTGCAAATAATAATAGACTGGTTTCTTATTACAATAATTACATATTTTTTATATTTGATAGGCCGACGTTTGACCTCTATATCGCCTGGTGGGAAGCGATGATGAGGTATACGATCACGAGCACATCGACCCATAAACAACTTATTCACTCGGGCCTAGAAGACCCGCAGGTTATACCCTTCAGGAAACAGACTCTGGCAAACAAGTACCCCCAACTCCTTAGCAGAACGGACAAGGAAGCTTGATTAATACTTAATTGTGATTAATAAGAGATTAAGTATATTTGGGCCCTTCCAGATGTCCCAGAAGTTCAGAACTTCTATCGTGTACCATAACATTATCAAATTATCTCTGTTACTCTTTATAGCAACAATACAGATTATACAAAGATGACTAAATTCCGTTATCTGACAGTATCTGACAAAAACTACCAATTTACAACGTTTCTTAAGTGTATTATAACTTTCCTGAGACATACTAAATAAATTATTATGTTTTCGGCTTACTCACGTAAATAAGCCTTCGTCCGAACTTTAACAGACACTGTGGCTGGGCATTACCACGTGCCTGGAAGCCGAGCGCGGTAGGAAACACGGTTTTTGCGTCGACCCGGGATTCGAGCCCAACACCAACGCAGCTAGTGGCGGGCGAGTCTAGCATGCCAACCAAGAGTGTCGCGCGCGCCACCGTCGTCGATACCACGAATGGAGAAAAGTGCGCGTGAATCACGGCAGAGGGCGCGCTGGGCCCGCAGACTCGAGTAGACAGTCGCCGCATCGCGGGTCGCGAAATGCTGCTCAATGAGCAGTGGTCATGAATATGAGCCTCAAGCATGGCTTGAAACTAGTCGAGTTCATCGTCAAATGATTACGTGAGTAAGCCGAAAACATAATAATTTGTTTCTTAAGTGATTAGGGCCTAGAGCAAGATTCCAGTGAGGAGCGGATGAGATATACAAAAGGGTTTTTTAAGGAAATGGAAATACGTTGGTCTGTTTGTTCATTAGTCATATTGTCCGCACGTACCCAATCTTCTTATTTGTTAACCCAAGAGCATGCAAGTGTGATTATATTCGATAACTCGTGGAAAAAGACTCGCACAATGGCGAAATACTGGTTGGTGTACGAATATGGTCTTATCACTTTGGAAACTGAAAGGTTTGATATTTTTAAACACAGAGGTGAGGTGAGTTTGAGGTGCACATTACAGCACTTAATGCCACTGTACAATGTAACACCCACTTTTCACTATTTATGTTATGAGTCCCATGTAATAGGGGGTGAGCATATTGCCATATATCAGGCAGAATTCCAGACTCCGTGTTACTACTGAGAACTTCTTTAAAAACGCAGACTATTTTACCACAAAATGACAATTTTAGTGTAATATCTATTTTGCATATTCACAGTAGATAATAGAGATGACGCAGTTTACTTAGCTTGTTAAGGAATATTTTAAAAATGACACATAATAGCTACATAGACACACCTCCTTTGTGCAAGAATGCTATCAATTACTTGCGTGATAGAGTTGATTATTGCTTGAACTTCTTATAGGTGTAATGCAAATCCTAAATTGCTGGTAGGTACAATAGCTACGTGTTTCATAGACGCTACGTTTCTTATTAACTACTAGCGGCCCGTCCCGGCTTCGCACGGGGGACTTAACATTTTTTACATAGTTTTACGTTTTATTTATATTTATTCTCAGTTTTTTTTAGCGACTTGCCCTCCGTTGTCGATGTCGCGTCTTAAGGTAACCGATTGAACAATTCAAAAATTATCTAGAGCAAACTTTTATAAGGATTGAACCATTCATTAAAACGATTGTTATGGGTAAACTATAAAAGGTAGACATATGCTCTCGCGGACTTTTTTAAAAATAATGTTAAGATGAACAATTCTTCTATAGAGCATTTTTGTATAACTTTAACTATATGCTCAGCGCACGCCACGGAAGGCCTCAGAAACGATACTTTTCCCCCGTTTTTAAAACATTTTTGGTTACTGCTCCACAACTATAGGACCTAGCGTGATATTATATAGCCTATGTTACTTCTGAATAATGCAGCTTTCTATGGTGAAAAAATCATTGCAATCGGTCTAGTAGTTTTTGAGTTTATTCATTACAAACATACAAAAATACAAAAATACAAATCTTTCCTCTTTATAATATTATAGTATAGACTAGCTCTGAACCCGCAACTTCGTCTGCGTTATTCTAACATAAGAGTAGCCTGTATTCCTCCTTAGTTAATATCGGTCCAGCCATTTCAGAGATAAGTTAATACAAACAAACAGACGAACAAAAATTGTAAAAAGTGTTATTATAATTATGTATCGATCGTATTTATATCCATTTAGTAAAAAGCGATAATTTGAAAGACAGACACTCCAATTTTATTTATGAGTATGGATTATAACACATAGGTAAATAAGAAATGATAATCTTTCACCTTCACCTAGCCTTTTCGTCAGCTAGGTAAGAGTCCGCACTGAGTCTCAAAAAGATTCGGTTGGATATTACAGAACAACTTCTTACCTAGATACCACTGCTAAGTTACTAGATAAATATTCTAGCACATTAATTGTAGGTACTCTAAACTTAGCTTCTAACTAAGCAGAGGCTAACCTTGTAGGTAGCATGTAATGTTTACCCAGATACAAATAAACAAGCTTCTCTTGGACTCAAGTGGTAATGAATGATGCACCTTGCCATTATATGATGTCATCGACAAAAACTTGCATTAATGAAATTAATGACATGTGCTTGTTGTATTCAACAGTTGAAATTTTATTTTGTGTTCTTCATTGCGAATTTGTAAAGTTAAAACTTTTTTCTGCGTAGACCTACACCGCACCGGTTCCTTATTTGTAGATGTCGCTAGTGTCGATTTTGGCTGTCAGAACTTATCTACCTCTATAGTGAATGACGGACTAGTACCTAGTGAATGAAAAATGTTTGTGAAGAACTTATTCTTCCGTTCTTATATCCGTTTGTATGCAAAGAATGCCCGCTAGCTGCTTTTCAGAGAGATGTTATGCAGAAATTAAAAGAAAATAGACATCATTATTAATAGAACTACAATTTGAGAGACAAGAAAAGGGACGTTTAAATTAAAGACGTCAGATCAAAATTCCAACATAAAAAGTGTACAGAATAAATGTAGGCGGAGCGAAATGACATCATCGTGTTTACTCATGTACACAGCTACAGACGCACACATGCTTGTGGAACTCACACAAAAAGATATTATCTCACAACAACCACCAATCGAATTCCAACTCTAGCTTCATGTGTTACCGTTGTTTATTCTTTGTGGTTGGTTTTCGAGTTACGCCAGGATGAGCAAATGGCAGTTGTGTAGACATCACGAAGTCTGCAAAGGTTCTGGGTCAGTGGGCACGAGTTGCTTTTGTTTTGTCGGTATCGATCAATGGATCGATGTAGTTAATCGAGTTTGAATACAATGATCTCGTTTGTTCATCGTCCTTGTGTTCTTTGATTGTAAAAATTCGTTGTTTTGTGCTATTTTTGTATCTGTGTTTAGATTTTCAGGTTTTTTTTTGATTTTTAGAAATTATTATGAAAAATTTATGTCCATAAATAAATTGTTTGTTGATTGAAAGATTGCTATTCATTTAACTATGCCATCATATATTATAATTAGCAGTACTAAAATAGCTTAATATCATCAATTTATTTCGTTGCGGGAACCAAGATAGTTATTTATGACCCTGGGACGCGCCGGACTTCAGTGTTCGGGTGTTTTCATGGTTGTATCTACTGTAGATCATGGCGTACAGGAGTTGCAGCGGTTTTAGGAGGTAGTGGCGGGCTTGTCCCACAAAAAAGTTCCAAAACAGCCTTATTGTTTAAAAATATATGTAAAGATACTTTATTGTTATGTTTGACGGATGATAGTTTATAAAACATGGACAATGCTTATTGTACAAGTAAGCACAGGGTCAAAGCAACAATACTTCCGATATCAGAATAGGCACGTGGATAACAATATTGTTAGGAACCTATTTTATTTAGGGACATTAGATACAATACAGAAACACTGATTTTAATTAGGTATGTAGGTATGTGTCTTTTTTTAAGGGGGGAAAATCATCAAATGACTGCTCCCGCCTGGGTGAGGCGGGAGGGAGTGTCAGACTCTGCCTAAAAACCACCCCGTTCCTACTCTTGCGCTTCGAGCCGGGGCTCCGGTAACCCGTCCAAATTGGTCCCATACAGTTCGATTTTTGAAAAATTTTCTCCCCTGGGCCCCTTCGATTGTGGAAAGAACTCCCTGCCAAGGTTTACCCGGTGAGCTACAATATGGGGTTATTCAAGAAAGGAGTAAATAGATTTATTAAGCGTCGGCAAGGCGCATGTAACGCCCCACGTGTTGTGTGCGTTCATAGGCAATGGTAACCACTTACCATCAGGTGGGCCATACGCTTTTTTTGCCACCGTCGTGGTGTAAAATAATG